TTTTCTTTCGTTGTTTCTTTCTTTGCACAGGTAAACAGCACATTTCTTCTTCTACGCTTGCATTATCGGCAGAGCAGACGCTGAATGCGCACTTTCATCTGGTTTGGTCTGCCGCGGTTTCCGTAGACTCGTGAACGCGCTTTTAGGAAATCCTATACACTACTGTTTATGCTCTAAAAACATTCTAAATGACTTCGTTTCGAGTAAATTCTGGACGCTACCCACTCAGGACACTTGGAATACATTGGACGAGCAGTATGGAGGAATATTGACACGTTTTTTGTGGACTTTTATGGACCTTTCTGCCTCGGGCGCCATAGACCTCCATTATTTGAATGTCATCAGACAGCAAGAAGCCTCCCAGATCTCCAGATGCATTTGAGATATCAAAAAAGTACTCCAGAGTGTTGTTCAGCATGGGGGTGAGTAGAAAATGAAGGCTAATCATGTTTTGGGTGTACTATTCCTTTAAGAGGAATTAAAGTAACACTGTGTTCACTTTGAGAGATTAAATAGGATATCAGGCCGTTTCCAATGAGCAAAACTTGGTTGAAACGTCCAAAGGCGTCTACATTCGGTTGAAAAGTGAAAGGTGAAAAGCCGTAAATTTCAGATCGTTGAAAAAGACGTGACAAACCCAGTTTGTTACTAACCTGACTCCGCCAGATGGAGTTGCTCCGCATATCCATCTAGAAACCTTCCGTAGAAGTAATTTTGGGAAGGGGCGAAAATACTGGTTAGCTGATTGGCCTATGTTGGTGATAGACGGGCCAAATAAACCAATCAGATCAACGAAGCATATGACGTACTAACAGAGCGACGACGAAGAGGAGCCAATTGATATTTCTTTTTTTTTTTTTTTATAACATTTTTATTGAGTGCATTTCAAAGATCTTATACATTCAACACATCCATTTCCGACATAGACTTAACATAACCAAGTTAAATTCACAACCAGTCCATGGATGAATTAGATGACAATTATATTCTTGGTAATCTTACCATTTTATCCTAACACACGTGCCTTCATGTGAGAAAGAAAGAACACTTCCTTTCCTCCTTATTCATATCTACAAGTGTCCACTCCAATAGAAATACACTTTTTTTTTTTTTACAAAAAAAACAACAAAGAACAACAAAAACAGATAAAAGAAACTAAAACTATACAACACTAACTGTGTGGCAATAGGAGGTTCTCAGCCCTAATTTTAATCATACAACAAAGTCTGATCTCACTGGTGATATGAATTTCACCCAGTTTTCCCAATTTTTCTTGAACTTGCCAGATTCTAACCTCAAGGAAAAAGTTAGCCTTTCCATTATATAAATATCATGCATTACTTCAACCCAATCATTCCTTGTTGGAGCCTCTGTTTTCAGCCACTTCCTAGTTATAGCTTTCTTACAACCCCAAAATACATGAAGGTGATTGGCTCTTTCTTCTCCACAGCCTCTCCAACATCTAGTATCTTGGTTTTTCTTTTGCGCTGGAGAAAAGAAATATCTCACAATGCACTTCCAGCCAAATTCTCTCCACGAGGGAACTTTTCCAGTTTTGCCTAAATATCTCCTCCCATGTCTCCACCGTCCACCTCCCTCCCGTCTCTTTTTCCCATCGTTCTTTTATATATAACGTATTTCTTCCTTTCAGGTTCTCCACTCCTGAATATAATTTTGATAGCCAATTGATATTTCAAACTCTTGCCGAAACCAGTCGGGAGAAGAGCAAAAACATCTTTTCCTCTGAGAAAAACCTCCAGAGCAGTGTTTTGCTCTTCTTTCAGTGAAGAAATACTCTGTAATTCCCATAAAACTTGCTCGATAGCCACGCTAACGCTAGTTTCATCGGCTGAAGCCGCCATGTTCTTTAGACTGAGCTGTCGCGCTTCTAGCTGCGTCACACCTCAACCCGCCTCAAAGCCAACGCTGATTGGACGTTCGTTTGGTGAACGGCTCCAAATTTTTTTTAACGGAGAGTCTCCAGGCTGATTAGCGAGTAAAACCTTGAAAGCTCGCGAGATCAGGATGGTCTCACGAGGCTAGTTTGTAACATCCTTTCCAATAAAAGACATTGAAAGCAAAGATGTCCCAGCTACAAAGTCGTTACAAACTCTTTTTCAACCCCTTTTATTTAACTAAAGTGGGACATTAATAAAGAAAGATTAATCTGTGCCTTCTCATGATGTTTCAGAAATGCAACAAAGACGGGGCAGGCACCCTGTGGGGAGGCGGAGTAACATAACCAGTGAGGAGCGAAAAGTAGTGATCATTTGTCCAAACGGTCGGTTAACTGAGTTCCCTATAAAGTCCGCTATGTAGTCCCTGCTCTATATAGTGATGGAGGGATTTAGGGGTTAGGGCGGACATTCGGACAGAGCCTTTGACAAGTTTGTAAAACCTCATGTTAGTGTGAATTATTCATAGAATAACACAATATCTGCGCTTTGGTCCTTCATCTAATCCACACCTACTACAGATATGAAATACTGCCATTTTTTAGAATTGAAAGTCCGACCAAAATGTAGACAGGATCTTGGGATAAGAACGGTGAGGGTTTAATGATGATAATAATAATAAAGATGTACAGTAAGGAGAGGAACCAACAAAGAAATTCAGGGAACTCATTTACTGAGGCGTGAATGGAGAATGACATTGAACGCAGATGAATGAATCAGAGGGTTAGATTCAAAATGACCCTTCTCAGTCAAATGCCAGCCAACTTCCCTCCAACTCCCAGCAAAATCCCCTCCAACTTCCAGCCAATGGACTGATCCCCTTCGCTTGCATATATTTCTACTCTGACTCCACCCTTTCACTGAATTACAGGGTCTGACAAGGAGGTGGCGCTTCTCTTTAGATCTTAATGTCCACAAATCATGACAGAAAGACCAAGGACCAGCGAAGGGCCAGCCTAGGGCCAGCTTAGGACTAGCCAAGGACCAGCCAAGGGCCAGCCTAGGACCAGCCAAGGACCATCCTAGGGCCAGTCAAGGACCAGCCAAGGGCCAGCCTAGGACCAGCCAAGGACCATCCTAGGGCCAGTCAAGGACCAGCCAAGGGCCAGCCTAGGACTAGCCAAGGACTAGCCAAGGGCCAGTCAAGGACCAGACTAGGGCCAGCCAAGGGCCATCCTAGGGCCAGTCAAGGACCAGCCAAGGGCCAGTCAAGGACCAGACTAGGGCCAGTCAAGGACCATCCTAGGGCCAGCCTAGGACTAGCCAAGGACCAGCCAAGGGCCAGCCTAGGACAAGCCAAGGACCAACCTAGGACTAGCCAAGGACTAGCCAAGGGCCAGTCAAGGATCAGACTAGGGCCAGCCAAGGGCCATCCTAGGGCCAGTCAAGGACCAGCCAAGGGCCAGTCAAGGACCAGACTAGGGCCAGTCAAGGACCATCCTAGGGCCAGCCTAGGACTAGCCAAGGACCAGCCAAGGGCCAGCCTAGGACTAGCCAAGGACCAGCCAAGGGTCAGCCAAGGACCATCCTAGGGCCAGTCAAGGACCAGACTAGGGCCAGTCAAGGACCATCCTAGGGCCAGCCTAGGACTAGCCAAGGACCATCCTAGGGCCAGCCAAGGACCATCCTAGGGCCAGTCAAGGACCAGACTAGGGCCAGTCAAGGACCAGACTAGGGCCAGTCAAGGACCATCCTAGGGCCAGCCTAGGACTAGCCAAGGACCAGCCAAGGGCCAGCCTAGGACTAGCCAAGGACTAGCCAAGGGCCAGCCAAGGACCATCCTAGGGCCAGTCAAGGACCATCCTAGGGTCAGTCAAGGGCCAGCTTAGGACTAGCCAAGGGCCAGTCAAGGGACAGCCTAGGGCCAGCCAAGGACCAGCCTAGGGCCAGCCAATGACCAGCCAAGGACCAGCCTAGGGCCAGCCAAGGGCCAGTCAAGGATGAGCCTAGGGCCAACCAAGGACCAGCCTAGGACCAACCAAGGACCAGCCAAGGCCAGCCAAGGACCAGCCAAGGACCAGCCAAGGACCAGCCAAGGACCAGCCAAGGACCAGCCAATGACCAGCCAAGGAAGGAAAGTGAGGAAATTTTGAATGGCTACAACTGTAACACTATAAACCTTGAAAATTTTGCTTAAGGCTATCATACCATTAAAATTTAATCAAACAATTAATCGCAATTAATCAATTATTGAAATAATTGTTTAGTAATCGATTAATCATTAACTGGAGTATAGAGACTCTAGAACATGCCTTTAGCTGACGGAGCAACCCTCTCAGATCTATACCAAGATTGGGAGAAAAATATATGTAAGCATTTTCTATTTAATATAAAAATGTTTTTCATCTGTCAACCTGCTCTGTCCAGAACTCCTCAAGTGGAAAAGTTTTAGTTTCACCTGCTTGAATTTTGGAAAAAAGGAACCTTTTGTTATCTGATTCTGAATAATGGTTAGTTTCAGCCCTAATGTATTCCCTGTCCAGTGTTATGGTAGAAGTAAACCGATTAAATGACCGATTTTCAGAGGTAAATAAGAAAAAAATGCCCCTAGGCAATGTTTAATTATTTTTAAAATAAACAGTTTAACTTAAGATAAAACAAATTTTAATTTAAAGAGGAAAACCAGTCACTTAGAAGAACTTTAAAAATGATTAATCAAAGTATTACCACTAACAGTTTAATGAGCTTTAATTATGAGGAAATATGAGATTAAATTGATGTCCTTTCTATTGTCAGTTCTCTCAAACATTGAATATTTTGTTGTGTTTTATTTACATGACTTACCTTCAAATCTAATAAAATCTCTTTTATAGCAGCGTTTAGTCTTGCTCAACAGAAATTAGAAGATCCTTGGAGCGAATGACTTAATTTCATTCCTCTAATTACAAAAGTATTGAAAAAATCTCTGTTGAATATAAGAGTTTAGAGGACGAATCTTTACCAAGGTTAACAAACAATAAGCTTGAATCAGTATTAGCTAAAGCATAAATATGTAATTTTCGGTTATTTGTGTGTAATAGAGGATGTTTGGTCATGCAGACTCACCCTTGAGTGAAGCGGTGCCACTATGTCTGAGATGAGGTGGGGCTGGGTGGCAGGATGGCCGTGGCCACAACTTCCACCTTTAATTGGCAGCTCCTTTGCACTCAGCAGTGAATGGTGGGAGGAATTCACACGGTTAATGGGCTCCAGGTAGTAGATGTCACTAGAGTTTAAAGAAATCAGGCCCCTGTAGCAGAGAAAGAGGGATGGGGAGGGAAAAATATGAGAGAAACATTGCAGGAATTTTATAATAATACAGAAATATTAATAAACTTTTAATCTTTGACATGATCTGGGGGTTTGGTCATAAATCCGTTATGCCATCAGCATCCTTGATGAGGGACCGAGATGTTTTTTTATTTATTTTTAACCCAAAAAAAAGAAGCTTACAAAAAATACATGGGTTCAAGTCATAAAAGAGGCCAACCAAAAAGAGAAAATTTAACTCAAGCAAACGGTGCCTAAACTAACTGGCTGCATAAACAAACACAACTGACCTAATAAAGAAATGACACACATATATATATATATACACTCACCGGCCACTTTATTAGGTACCCCATGCTAGTAACGGGTTGGACCCCCTTTTGCCTTCAGAACTGCCTCAATTCTCCGTGGCATAGATTCAACAAGGTGCTGGAAGCATTCCTCAGGGAGTTTGGTCCATATTGACATGATGGCATCACACAGTTGCCGCAGATTTGTCGGCTGCACATCCATGATGCGAATCTCCCGTTCCACCACATCCCAAAGATGCTCTATTGGATTGAGATCTGGTGACTGTGGAGGCCATTTGAGTACAGTGAACTCATTGTCATGTTCAAGAAACCAGTCTGAGATGATTCCAGCTTTATGACATGGCGCATTATCCTGCTGAAAGTAGCCATCAGAAGTTGGGTACATTGTGGTCATAAAGGGATGGACATGGTCAGCAACAATACTCAGGTAGGCTGTGGCGTTGCAACGATGCTCAATTGGTACCAAGGGGCCCAAAGAGTGCCAAGAAAATATTCCCCACACCATGACACCACCACCACCAGCCTGAACCGTTGATACAAGGCAGGATGGATCCATGCTTTCATGTTGTAGACGCCAAATTCTGACCCTAACATCTGAATGTCGCAGCAGAAATCGAGACTCATCAGACCAGGCAACGTTTTTCCAATCTTCTGTTGTCCAATTTCCATGAGCTTGTGCAAATTGTAGCCTCAGTTTCCTGTTCTTAGCTGAAAGGAGTGGCACCCGGTGTGGTCTTCTGCTGCTGTAGCCCATCTGCCTCAAAGTTCGACGTACTGTGCGTTCAGAGATGCTCTTCTGCCCACCTTGGTTGTAACGGGTGGTTATTTGAGTCACTGTTGCCCTTCTATCAGCTCCAACCAGTCTGGCCATTCTCCTCTGACCTCTGGCATCAACAAGGCATTTCCACCCACAGAACTGCCGCTCACTGGATGTTTTTTCTTTTTCGGACCATTCTCTGTAAACCCTAGAGATGGTTGTGCGTGAAAATCCCAGTAGATCAGCAGTTTCTGAAATACTCAGACCAGCCCTTCTGGCACCAACAATCATGCCACGTTCAAAGTCACTCAAATCACCTTTCTTCCCCATACTGATGCTCGGTTTGAACTGCAGGAGATTGTCTTGACCATGTCTACATGCCTAAATGCACTGAGTTGCCGCCATGTGATTGGCTGCTTAGAAATTAAGTGTTAACGAGCAGTTGGACAGGTGTACCTAATAAAGTGGCCGCTGAGTGTATATACACTGGCTGATCAGACCATTAACACAACAGGGGTAATTCAAACTAAACAACCACAAATGACAAACATTGGCAGTACAGTTAGGTTTGGCAAAAAACTAAAATATTTCTTAACAAAATGAAAACACACCAACTGCAAACAAATCCTCAGTGAAAGATGCAAAAAAAATTAGAAAAGGAAAATTCAAATCCCCCCCTTTAAGCTGCACCTGATGGAACAGTCCAATTTCCCCCTCCTGCATTTAGCAGATCTGAACCCTGGCTGCCATCTTTGTCTGGCTAAACTCCGAGGCACCATAGGTAAGAAACAGTGACAAAACAGAAAGAGATATGAATGAACTAAATGTGTGCGCTTACAAATAGAACACATTCATTTAAACTGAGAATAAAGTTTTATTGCAAACTAAAGTAGGTGTATGGATTAAATAAATAAAGGTGCATGTATAATCCAGACTTAAGGTGTGGCCATGGGTTTGGCCATCACAATGCCACCAAACATTTGAGCCAATCCTGATTTACCCTAAAAGTTAAAGGTACGGTGGAGGATTTTAGCAAAAGTTTGCAAAGACCCGCCCTCTCCACTTTGAAAAAAAGCACATACACAACCCTGTACCCGCTCCCAAGAGGGAACACCTATTAAACGTGTGTAAGGGCATGCAGGAGCCCATTTCTTCTCATGCAGGCTCTGTTTAAAAGTTGCTGTTTGCATCTAGCCTAGTAAGCTATCACCACGCGCTAGAAATAAAAATAATTTTTGCCTGCGAGTTGGTCTAGCCTCGATCAATGCCCCAGGCCCTAAATCTGGCAGGCCAATCACAACGCGATATAGTACAAATATATCGTGATATTACAGGGTTCGTACACCTTTTCCAACGTCAAAATCAAGCACTTTTCATCACTTTCAAGATCCATTTTAAAACTTTTCCCAGTACATTACACCACTGTAAATTACATACCAATACAGTCAAAATTATTACTCGGATGATCAAAGAAAATTACTCCTCTGCCATGGCGTAGTAATATAACCAACCAGAGGGTGTCCCAATTCAGTATTATCAGCCGTAGAGTTATCAATGCTGTTTTAAAGGAATAGTACACCCAAAACATGATTAGCCTTCATTTTCTACTCACCCCCATGCTGAACAACACTCTGGAGTACTTTTTTGATATCTCAAATGCATCTGGAGATCTGGGAGGCTTCTTGCTGTCTGCTGACATTCAAATAATGGAGGTCTATGGCGCCCGAGGCAGAAAGGTCCATAAAAGTCCACAAAAAAAGTGTCCTGAGTGGGTAGCATCCAGAATTTACTCGAAACGAAGTCATTTAGAATGTTTTTAGAGCATAAACAGTAGTGTATAGGATTTCCTAAAAGCGCGTTCACGAGTCTACGGAAACCGCGGCAGACCAAACCAGATGAAAGTGCGCATTCAGCTCGGCAAAGAACTCATGCTCTTCCTCAACACTGAAGTCCTCAGACATTTTTCTTTCGTTGTTTCTTTCTTTGCACAGGTAAACAGCACATTTCTTCTTCTACGCTTGCATTATCGGCAGAGCAGACGCTGAATGCGCACTTTCGTCTGGTTTGGTCTGCCGCGGTTTCCGTAGACTCGTGAACGCGCTTTTAGGAAATCCTATACACTACTGTTTATGCTCTAAAAACATTCTAAATGACTTCGTTTCGAGTAAGTTATGGACGCTACCCACTCAGGACACTTGGAATACATTGGACGAGCAGTATGGAGGAATATTGACAAGTTTTTTGTGGACTTTTATGGACCTTTCTGCCTCTGGCGCTATGGACCTCCATTATTTGAATGTCAGCAGACAGCAAGAAACCTCCCAGATCTCCAGATGCATTTGAGATATCAAAAAAGTACTCCAGAGTGTTGTTCAGCATGGGGGTGAGTAGAAAATGAAGGCTAATCATGTTTTGGGTGCACTATTCCTTTAAGGTCTGGGCCTGGCAACGAATTAAAACTTCTGGGTTTTTTAAGGTTTTTTTTTGGAACGTTGGCGAGGTGGTAGCGTGAATTTGGCGAGATAGTACTGCAGGAAACACTGCAATACTAACATTACATTATCACACCGTACTCTCAGTCACCCAGTAACTTAGCCTGTGAATTCCTAGCTAGCAGTTACTAGCGTAAACAAATAGGCGCTAACGTTAACATGTACTAGGCTACTTCAGTTGGCTAACTTAAAAGTCTATGACTGACTCTTCATGTGACTCGACAGCGCAGACTCGCCCATTGGGAAAAGCTGCACATCTTTTTTGCAGACTTTACAAGAGGCAACTCGTGGGGTTTGTCCCCGTTTAATCCATAATTTGTATTTTTCATCTTCCAGCGAACGTTCATAGAAACGACAACCTCCCGGCATGGTGCAGTTGTGGTTTCATGGGGGCGGAGCCACACATGGAAATAGACTGGCAGATCGCAGTCACGCATAAGCGAGCAGGTTTCATTTTCGGGCTCTCCGACATTTTATTTCTCCATTTAATAAACACACGATTCAGTTAGATAGGTATTTGTTGCGAAAGAAATAGTTACAATTTCAAGCATTTTCAAGCATTTCATCCAAAATATAAGCACTTTTCAAACCTTGAAAACACAACGTCAAAATTCAAGCATTTTCAAGGATTTCCAGCACTCGTACGAACCCTGTATTAGGTATTCTTCATAACGCCCAGCCCTATTTGGACCCTTAAAAAGCTACTGTTAAATCAAAAATAAATCTAATCTTTCACAAATTTAATTTACTATAGTTTAAGATTGAAGCCCTAATTTTCTCTGTAACCATATCGAACATTTAAAAAAATCTTTCAGATATTATAAGGAACCTTTTTTTTTTTTGTAGAATTCAATAAAATAAATTATGGATCCAATCAGTTGGACCATTGGTGTTATGGTCAGAATAGATTTCTGTTTAAAGCGCTTTTATTCAAAATCAAACAGATAAATACTCTTTATTAAGAGATTGTTGTTAAATATTCAATCAAATAAAAATGACCACAATCGATTAAAAATATTACAAAATATGTATATGTATAATGGGTCTGTTTTATGTGTTGTCTTCTTAATTCAGGGGGGCCCCCTGCCTGTCTTTGCCTAGGGCCCCACATTTCTTAAATCTGCCCCTGCTAACAGGACAGTTTCCCAGATACTTAAGTTTCCCACCTCTGGGGATTTTAACAAAAATAAGCAGTTTAAGTTGAACTAGGCTAAATCTAAACCAGAAGGTGTAGCTCTGCTTTAAAGATGGGGAATAAATAAAGAGTCCTACACTGCTAACTGAGGTTTGATGAAAAACATTTCACCTGGTCTGTGAACATGCTGCCAGAGGTGCTGTTTACTTCACAGCATTCACAATGGGCCCAAAGGGAATCAATTTATTTATTTTTTGTGTGAAAGGAGTTGCGCAGGCTATTATG